AACCTGCTCGGTCGGCTTTTGTGAGTTCTTCCATTTTGTTTTTTTTATGGGGGGGGCCATTGAGTTTCAAACAATTGAAATTGTCGAATATTCATGCAAACTTTGTGTCTTTTTTTTTTTTTTTAGTTGAGTGAGCTGATTGAAAACAATGCAAGCTGAATATTTAAGCCTATGAGAAAATAGGTTCCTTTTTTATTTTTTTAGGATGTCGGTGTTTGCATGTAATAATGAATGAAACATAAAAAAAATTAAGTTTTAATTAATTGGAAATTCAGGCTATTACCTTTTTTTGTTAAAACAATCTCATTAAATGTTTTTAAAACAAAATGTTTATTCTGTTAAATTAATACTAAATAGCTACTTCATCAGTTTTCTACTGAAACTGTTCATTTAAGTATAAGTAAAATTTATGGTTCATGGGAAAAATTACTTTAAGAAAATGTGAATCGTTTTTTTTTCCATCAATTACTAGTCACTACATCTGTTTGGGACAATATAGTTGATAAATATTATGTTTAAAATTAATAAGGTACAACCCTCTTAGAATTTTACAGTAAATCGACCCGAGTTGTAAGTGAACAAGTACCTTACCAGTATCTCGACTCCTTTAAGTACCTGGTCAGTTTTAGATAGAAAACCAAATGTAAAGAAGCAGTTATTTGATAAGTGAAAATTAGTGCTACCATCGTTACATAATAAAAATAAAAAGTTAATACACAAAACAATTCGTACTTAACAGCCTGTATAGAGTTGGCACACCTTTTCACACTCACTAGTGGAAGAACACTAAATTGGACATTGGTAGGTCCAAACTAGGTCCTTGTACCTTTTTTTTTTTCTAGTTTTATAATAAGAATAAGTGACCGAACGGTATTTACTATTGGGGTGTTAAAAGTCGTGGTTATGCTTCACTTTAATATTTTGTTTCTTGCAGTATGAACCAAAAATGTATCCATCTTTAGTTAAATCAGGCAATATATTTGTTGAAGTTAACTTGATTTTAGACTTGTTTCATGTGAACTTAAACCGTACGTTGTTATTCTGCACACAAATTTAATCTGAAATCTCTGCATAAAAAAAAAAGCTTAAACTACATCTTTTGAGCTAAGGCTTAAAGTTGGCTTTACCAAAAAATTTTTGCATTTTTTTGGGTTAGTGTTACTTAATTAATAAGATCACACTCTCACGTGAATTGAAGTGATACCTGTCCTACAGTGTAAAAGTTACTATTATACCTTTAAAATAACATACACTGGAAGTTAGAGTATATTTTTCAAAATATTTCTGTGTAGCTGTTTTAATTTTTGATGCATATTATGATTTTTTTTTAATAATGGCAACCCTCTGTTAAAAAGTTGTTTTTTTTCTGTCTAATTTATTTTTATTGTCAATTGATAAAATATTTTCTTCGTGTATTTTCTAACAGTAGAAACATAGTTCGATATTAGCATTTTATTTCTATTTAAGCAAACATGATTTGTTTCCAGTGTAAGTTTTTTTATTACCCTTATTTAGAAAAGTTTGATTCAACGGAACTTTTAATGCTTAAAACACCCGTTGTTGTTGTTGTTTTTTTCACTTATTTCAATTCCAATTTGTTTGCATTTTGCAACTTTAAAAGATAAATATAAAAATATACTGTTGTATCTGTTCAGTCTGGTGAATTATAAGGTTTGTGCCCATATAAAAATGAATGAAAATGTTTATGTACAATGATGCTGGAAAGAATTTTTTAACTCTTATCAGATGTCTCTATGAAAGTGGGTAGGTATTTTTTTCTGTATTGTGTGGTGCTGTTTAATAGTTGAAAAGTAAGCTGCAACATTTTGACAGCGTT